TACGGCCACCCAGCCCAACAGCAGGTAAGCGTACGGCCACCCAGCCCAACAGCAGGTAAGCGTACGGCCACCGTATTTGAAGGGCAGAGGGGAGGCAGCAGACAGTGGAGGTTAGTGCAGTTGACCAAGACTTTCAGTCCAGGCTTGGCGGCTGAGAGGGACACGGGAACCCCGTGAAAGGTTTACCTTATAGGAAGGGGGTCATCCTCAGGCATTTCCAAACAAGAAATCTTGCTCCAGGGCTGGGGATCACAGTTATTTAATTGAATCGTAGTCTGACTTTTGCACAAACTGGTGGTTAACACGTTGGCTGCTAACCAAAAGGTCACCGTGAGAAAAATGAGGCAGTTGGCTTCCACGAAGATTGACAGCCTCCAAAACCCTCTAGGGCAGTTCCATTCTGTCCTCTAGGGGCGCTGTGAGTGAAATTGACTCCAGGCAGTGGGTGTGGTTTGGGCTTTGCTTCTGTGAAGACTGACAGCCTTGGAGACCCTGTGGGCAGTTCCACTCTGTCCTCTAGGGGCGCTGTGAGTCAGAATGGACTCCAGGCAGTGGGTGTGGTTTGGGCTTTGCTTCCCTGAAGATTGACAGCCTTGCAGACCCTCTGGGGCAGTTCCACTCTGTCCTTTAGGGGCGCTGTGAGTGGGAATAGACTCCAGGGCAGTGGGTGTGGTTTGGGCTTTGCTTCTGTGAAGACTGACAGCCTGGGAGACCTGGAGCAGTTCTCCCTTGGCCTCCAGGGGCGCTGTGGTTTGGTTTGGTCACTTTCTCCCTTCCCAGTGTACACGTTGAGGGGGTCAGTGGCAGAACCCTCACATTCCGTCACATCACCTACTAGATTTAGGGACACAAGCCTGTCTGAGACGCAGCGGCTTGTGCTAATCCAGTGGCTGACGCAGGGGACCCTGAAGGTGCTGGGCCACGGGGTGGGCACTGCAGCTCAGCCCCGTTGCATGGGATCCTTCACTGCTTCTGCCAGATGCCTCGGCAGCTCGCAGGGTTGCGGTCTGTCTGCTGGAAGATGTCTGCCAGGGAGACTGTCAGCTGGGAGGCAGTGCACACTGCACCTGGGGCTGAAGAAAGCATCCCAGAGGAGACGCTGGCCTTGGGCTGGAGTAGAAGGCGGCCGGCCAGTTGAGGAAGGAGGAGCACGTGACAAAGTCTGGCACTCGGGCAAGGGGAGCAGGGAGCAGCACGGTATCGGCTGTCCAGGGATCAGGGAGACCGGCCGACTCTTGATAAGGAGGGGCGATGTGGCCTGCTACGTCCTACGTCCCTTAATTTTCAAATGTCACTCCTGTTTTTAGATGCCACTAGGTTCGTTCCAACTGATAGTGCCCTCGTGTACAACAGAACGAAATACTGCCGGGTCCCGCACCATCCTCTCAACCACTGTCACGTTTGAGTCCATCATGGAAGCCCCTGTCTCAGTCTAGCTCCTTGAGGGTCTTCCCGTTTTTCACTGACCCTCTACTTTACCAGGTGTGATGTCCTAGAAGGACGTCTCCCTCCTCCAAAATTCAAGAGACAGAGTCTCGCCATCCACACTTCTAAGGAGCATCCTGGCTGCACTTCTGAGACAGGGTTATTTTGTTCTGACGTCCAGAGTCAGTTGATTCTGCTCATGGCAACTGTGATGGTTACGTCTGGGTGTCAGCTTGGTTGGGCCTGGTTGAGCGGCTGGGCAGCTAGATGTAGTTATTCCCCATGATGAGGCTGGAAATCAGCTCCATGGTGGGATCTACTGGGAGCAGCTGAGTAGCTGCCTTTGGGTATGTGGTCTGCTTCCCGTATATAAGGAGAAGCTTTGGGAACGGTCTCTAGCCTATGGCGCATGTAGCTATGTCATTGCTCAGCAGCCTGCTATGCTCTGCCAACCTTGGGACTTACAATGGACTTAAATTAATGGCCTGCCTTGTGGGTTTAGTAACATCGGGACTGTGCCTTTTTACTTGTCAACCTTGGGGCTTCTCAGCCTCAGCAGCCAGCAGCTGTCTGACTGAAGAAACGCCTCTAGCTCCAGTGGGCCGGGAGCAGGAGACAGAGCTGGACCCTAAGGTTGAGGGGCTTTCACCCAAGCCCCTAGAGCCTGGCACTTTGAAGTTGGACTTAAAGCCTCCAAACTGTAAGAATAAACTCCTGTTTGTTAAGGCATCCCGTTGGTGGCATGTTTCCTGTCAGAGCGGCACCAGGGAACCAGAGCAGTGACTCTCTGAACAACAGAAACGCTGCCCGGGCCTGTGCCAGCCTCAGAAACGCTGCCCGGGCCTGCGCCAGCCTCACCGTCCTGGCTGTGCCTGGGCCCATCGTTGCAGCCACTGTGTCAGTCCATCCCATTGAGGGTCTTCACCTTTTCTGCTGACCCTCCACTTTACCGAGCATGACATCCTTTGCCAGGGAATGGGCCCTTCTGACAACATGACCAAAGTAGGTGACATGAAGTCTGGCCATTCTCGCTTCCAAGGAGCATTCCAGCTGCACTTCTTTTGGGACAGATGTGTTCATTCTCCTGCCAGTCTATGGTATTTTCAGTATTCTTCGCCTGCACCACAACTCAAAACCATCATCTCTTCTTCGGTCTTCCTTATTTGCTGTCCAGCTTTCACATGCTGTGACGTGATTGAAAATCCCATGCCTTGAATCAGGCGCACCTTAGTCTTCAAAGTGACATCTTTACTCTTTAACCCTTTGGCAGCACATGTACCCAGTGCAATGGGATGTCCGATTTCTTGATGCTGCTTTCATGTGTGTTGATTGTGGATCCAAGTAAAATGAAATCCATGACGACTTCAGTCTTTTCTCCATTTATTGTGATGCTGGTTATCGGTTCAGTTGTGAGCATTTTTGTTTTCCTTATGTTGAAGTGTAATCCATACTGCAGACTGTAGTCTTTAATCTTCATCAGTAAGTGCTTCAAGTCAACCTCACTTTGAGCAAGCAAAGTCATGTCGTCTCAGTATCACAGCTTGTTAATGAATCTTCTTCCAATCCTGATGCCACACTCTTCTTCATACAGTCCAGTTTCTCAGATTATTTGCTCCGCATACAGATTGAATAAGCGTGGTGCAAGGATAAAGCCCTGAAACACTCCCTTCCTGACTTTAAACCATGTATCCCCTTGGTCTCTTTGAATGACAGCCTCCTGGTCTATGTACAGATTCCTCATTAGTACAATTAAGTGTTCTGGAATTCCCATTCTTCTCAATGTTATCCACAGTTTGTCATGATTCACACAATCGAATGCTTTTGCATAGTCAATAAAACACAAGTAGACATCTCTCTGGTATTCTTTGCTTTGAGCCAAGATCCACCTGGCATCAGCATTGATAACCCTCGTTCCACATCCTCTTCTGAATGCAGCTTGCACCTCTGGAAGTTCTCTGTCAATATACTACTGCAACCATTTTTAAATTATCTTCAGCAAGTTTTTACTTGTGTGTAATATGAATAATTTTCACATTCTGTGGGATCACTTTTCTTTGGAATGGGTACAAATATGGATCTCTTCCAGTCAGTTGGCCAGGTAGCTGTCTTCCAAATCTCTTGGCATAGCCAAATGAGTGCCTCCAGCAGGGCATCCATTTGTTGAAACATCTCACTGGGCATCCTGTCAATTCCTGGAGCCTTGTTCTTTGCAGTGTTCTTCAGCGCAGCTTCAACTTCTTCCTTCAGTACCATTGGTTCTTGAACATATGCCACCTCCTGAAATGAATGAACATCGACCAGTTCTTTTTGGTACAGTGACTCTGTCTGTTCCTTCCATCTTCTTTTGATGTTTCCTGCATCATTCAATATCTGCCCATAGAATATTTCAATATTTTAACTCAAGGCTTACATTTTTTCTTCAGTTCTTTCAGTGTGAGTAATGCCAAGCGTGTTCTTCCCTTTTGGTTTTCCAACTCCAGGTCTTTGCACATTTCATTGTAATAATTGACCTTGTCTTCTCGAGCTGCTCTCTGAAATCTTTTGTTCAGCTCTTTTATCCTGTCAGTTCTTCCATTTGCTTTAGCTACTCCCCCTTCAGGGGCAAGCTTCAGAGTCTCTTCTGGGATCCATTTTGGTCTTTTCTTCCTTTCCTGTCTTTTTAATAACCTTCTGCTTTCTTGATGTCATTCCACAGTTCCTCTGGTTTTCGGTCATTGATGTTCAGTGCATCAAATCTGTTCTTTAGATGGTCTCTCAATTCAGGAGAGATATAAGCAAGGTCGTATTTTGGCTCTTGTGGACTTTCTTTTAATTGTCTTCATCTTCAACTTGAATTTGCATATTGCAATTGATGGTCTGTTCCACAATCAGCTCCTGGCTTGTTTTGGCTGAAGATATTGAGCTTCTCTATCACCTCTTGCCACAGATGTGGTCTATCTGATTCCTGTGTACTCCATCTGGTGAAGTCCACATGCATAGCCTCCATTTATATTGTTGGGGGGAAAAAACAAGGTATTTGCAAAATTCTATCATGCGATCTCCAGCATCATTTTTTATCACCAAGGCCATATTTCCAACTACTGGGTGATTCTTGTTTGTTTCCTACTTTTGCATTCCAATAACCATTGTTATCAACAAATCCTGATTGCATGTTTGGTCAATTTCAGACTGCAGAAGTTGATAAAAACCTTCAATTTCCTCATCCTTGGCTTTGGTGGTTGGTGCGTAAATTTGAATAATAGTAGTATTAACTGGTCTTCCTTGTAGGTGTATGGATAGTATCCTATTACTGACAGCATTGTACTTCAGGAGAGATCTTGAAACACTCTTTGTGATGATGAATGCCACACCGTTCCTCTTCAATTTGTCATTCTAGGCATAGTAGATCGTATGGTTGTCTGATTAAGAATGGCCAAAACCGGTTCATTTCCACTCACTGATGCCTAGGATATCAATCTTTATGAGTTCCGTTTTATTTTTGACAACTTTCAATTTGCCTACATTCATACTTCCAACATTCCATGTTCCGATTATTAATGGATGTTTGCAGCTGTTTCTTCTCATTTTGAGTCATGCCACCTCAGCAAATGGAGGTCCCAAAAGCTTTACTCCATCCACATCATTAAGGTCGGCTCTACTCTGAAGAGGCAGCTCTTCCCCAGTCGTATTTTAAGTGCCTTCCGACCTGAGGGGCTCATCTTCCAGCACTATATTGGACAGCGTTTCAAGGCTATTCACCAAGTTTTCTAGTAACGTATCAGATGGTGTCTCACTGCTGTTCATAAGGTTTCCCAGTAACATATCAGATGGTGTCTCACTGCTATCCGTAAGGTTTTCATTGGCCTGTCTTTTTTAAGGGACACCACCAGGTCCTTCTTCCTGGTCTGTCTCACTCTGGAGGCTCTACTGAGATCCGTCCACCATGGTAACCCTGCTGGCGTTTCAGTCACCAGTAGCACGGCCTCCAGCCTCACAGCAACACGCAAGCACTACAGGCCGACACACTGACAGATAGGTGTGTCAAACATCACTAGAGTGTGAAATTGCTTCTGGAAAATTCTGCACTATTGTGACTAAAAGTTTCTGATCCTGTCGTAATTCTCTGCTGACTTGTGAGTACAGGAATGTTGTCATTTATGAAGCTTCTAAAATTAGCTTCTCCTAGTCAAGCTTCTGCAAGCCATGCATATCCTGTGTCCCTGCACAACGCAGCAACCCCTGGGTTTTGTCTCTTGCTGAGCCGTTCTCTTCTTGCTGACACAGCTCAGTCTCGTTCCCATCAAAAGTGCCCAGGGCTGCATTTGTGTCACAGACTCAGTCCGCCCGTAGATTTTAACACCTCGGACTATTCAGAACCTGGATTCGTCCCAAGAGTTATCTCTGTCTCAGGCTCTTTCCTTTCTTATCACTTCTGTCCCCAGCCCAAGAATTGGCCTAGTTTTCAGGGGGAGAAGGACATTTTTCATAGAGAATCCAGGTTACATCATTTAAGTATAACCGCCAGGAGCACAAACAAATCTGTCCTCGATGAAGTGCAGCCGGAATGCTCCTTGGGAGTGAGAATGGCCAGACTTCGTCTCGCCTGCTTTGGTCATGTGGTCAGAAGGGACCATTCCCTGGAGAAGGATGCCATGCTTGGTAAGGTGGAGGGTCAGCAAAAAAGAGGGGAAGACCCTCAACAAGATGGATTGATACAGTGACTGCAACAGTGGGCTCAGGTATAGTGAGGACTGTGAGGCTGGTGCAGGACCAGGCAGTGTTCTGTTCTGTTGTACGTGGAGTCACTATGAGTTGGAACCATCTCGATGGCACCTACCAACACAAATGTGAAGGGGAGAATACAAAAACTGAGCAAAGTCTGTCGTGAGGGACATGGGCTGGATGGTCGCTAGGCAGACTCAGTGGCAAAGCTGTCCCTCCTGCACCAAACCTGGAAGCACACAGGGTTCATGTTCATTCGTGGAGAAATGAGCGGTGCATTCTAGGACTTCCATGGTTGCTCCTGAGCCCTTAAAGCCACAGGTGTTAAGTCCCTAGCTGTCCCGAGGAGCTGCTATGTGCTACTTTTAGCTGCCGTGCTGGGCAGCTACACACCGTTCCCTGCAAGAGCCTGAGCTTCCTCCCATGGGGTGAGGAGCCATTAACAACCCAGATGGACGGGAGAGGTGCAGGTCAGAGAGGTTTACCAAGGTGCCGACAGCCTTCCGGAGTCAGGACTGAAAAGTGGAAGCTCGTTTGTCCCAAATCCCATGTTTGGGTAAATGAGGTAAGGCAGAAGGGATGGGGACGAGGGGCCAGCTCTCTGGAACCAAGAGGACTTCGCTGGCGTGGATTGCTGGGAGTGGAGCTGTACGGTGAGCGGGACCCCCAGCCTGACTGGCCGGGTGGCTGGTGGACAGAAGCAGGCTTTGCAGTGGCCCAGTGGAGAGGGGCTGGGTGCTTGCCCTGCTGTGAGGAGTCAGCAGCTGATGGGAATGGTCTGACCGTCTCCGTCTTGCAGAGAAAATTCCCCATCTGCATCAGAGGTTGGCGAACGTTTCCTGCAAGGGGCCAAATAATAAATATTTCAAGCTGAGGGCTGGGAAGCAAAATCAAAGATAGTATGTAGAGATTTAGGTAAGAAGGAGCAGAGCTCTGGTGGTGCAATGGTTAAAGCACTTGGCTGCTAACAGAAAGGTTCATGGTTTGAACCCACCAGCCACTATGTGGGAGAAGGAGAGAGAGTCAGCTTCAGTAAAGATTGACAGCCTTGGAGACCCTGTGGGCAGTTCC